ATTTCATCCACACAACTGGGAAGTCTTCAGATTGCATTTTTATAGGTAAATAGGATAAAGTAGTTTTCTGCTCTCAACAAAATCAAAACCAACCCGCCCCTGAAAAGAAAGTGTTCTAATAAACATCATTGTCCTAAAAAAAAAAAAAAAAACTATTTTAAAAAAAGGCAAGCAAACAATAAACCCCTTCTTCTACATGTAAAATAAACATGGATGTAGCCATATGCATGGAATATGGTCTAGAAGGATACAAACCAAACTCAGAGAAGCAGTTACCTCAGGGGGTGGGGGATCAGGGCACAAGAAGGGTTTTTACTATACCTGTTATTTCTGTTTTGTACACAGAGAATAGGCTCATATATGACTCGTATAATTAAAGATAAATTTAAACTGCCCCCTTTTTTTTTAAAGAGAACCCACCATATTTAGTTTTTTTTTTTAATTACCACAGAACTATAATCAACAGAGGTAAATTTGGGATAGGGAGTATGGGAAACACCTTTTCTCACAGGTATTGACCTTAAAATTCTGGACCAAGAAGGAACTTAGATACAGTTAGTTTACTCTATTGATATTTGTAGAGGATATACTCACAGTTTCTCAACAAAACAGTATGGCTTCCAAGTATTTTCCTCAATATAAGAAATAGAGTTTCCTTGCAAATTTCTGTGAAGAAACACAGGAACGAACAGAGTAAGTATAAAGAACTGAGGCAACCTTCTCGGGGATATTCAAAGGCAGAAATATGAGCTTTCTAACTTCCATAGCTGTCAACTGCCAAGTTGGCTCAATTGATAATCAAAGACTGTGGGAGCAGTGGCACAAATGATAAGGCTGTCCCCCCAGAACCTGAACTTCCTATCTGTCCAATATCTTATCCTTTATCATTATGAGCAAATATAGATAAAGAAAATACACGCCAGGCAACACCACAGCCTTGGCTAAGGGCCCTCTATTGAAACTTCTCCTGGTGTTGGAAGGATAAAGACAATTAGAAATTAGAGGCACTAATGTACTGGCGTGGAAAAATCTCTTAGGCATATCGCTTAATGAAAAAAGGAAATCTCTGATCAAGAAGTATTATCTCATTAGGAAAAAGGATACATGACATGTATATGTATGTAAATGCTGTGGGAAGACACTGGAAGGAAGGACATAAACTAAGATGGTGACAAGTGTTACCTCACCAGCGATAGGGAGGACGATGGGAAGGGTAAGGGCAGGGAGGACTTTCACATTTGATCCTGTGTACTTCTGTGACACTTT